CATGTTGTGATGCTTGGAGGACTGGGGATGTTTGACAGAGGCAAAATATTTTAGATGGAGGTCAGCTAAATTCAAATGAATGTCTGTGATGTTTGCATGCAACATTATCAAAGACTTCAAAACACTGATTTGGCTTTCCACTTGATGACAGTTGTGCTTGGGTGGACTCTGTGCCTGACGAGAAGTTTGTTGATCTTGAAGATTCAGCCTGTAATATACTTTTCCCTTGAGAAGTCCATGCACTGTTCCTGAAAGTGCATCAAAATTTTCATTGCCATGAACAGCAGACACTTGGTGTGTTTATATGTGTGTTCAGGAAAATGAGGTTGTTGTGGCTGTGTTCCAGAATTGGGTAAATAACTATAAATTTTAATATTAGATTGTTGAAGTGAAGTCTTCCTTTAAAAAATTATGTCACAAGTGTATCAGGAAGACATGAAGAATTGCTTTCTCCCAGGGGAAGTCCCTTGGTGTGTTCAAGAGGCTATATTCCAGTAGTAGATTTAACGATAATGATATGGTTTGTAGGTACTGCTATGAGGAGGGGATGGGTAGGCTGAGGTGGAGAGGCTGAGAGGGAGTGGGAGGAAGGATGAGAGGGGGCTCTATGGTTGGTATGTTAAAAAATAAAAATATAAAACAAACTGCTTTTCTTTAAACAAGGACCACCCTCAAGTCTAAACTTCCCAAGGCCTCAGGAAGAAGTGCCCCACCACGCACTGAACTGTGAATTCTATGAATCAGGCAGGTATTTCAATTACATGATAATGTATTTCCTTTTAGTATCATGAATAAAGAACATGCATCATGGTTGGGTGGAAGTTCAGTTTCTCTTTATTCTTTTTCTATAAAAAAAAAAACACAACCAACAAAAATCCTGCTTCTAGCTCTGAACCTGTTGAATGTTTCTGATGTATGGCAGTGTGCTTGTGTGCTTTAGTTTTTTATCTTTTTCTTGTTTGATTTAGAGTTTTCTGGTTTTAAAGTAAATATTTCAGAAATTTGATGCAGGTAGAACGTATAATGATGACTCGCCAGAGAATAGTTTCCCGTGGCTTGAACCTACGCCATCCTCTTGTGAGAGTTTTAAATGGCAATGGTTCTTCATGGAAGGTTGCTGGACTCACACCACCTGCAAGATGGTTCTGCCAGTCAAGGTGCTTGCCTCCAAGCCCAACCACTTGAGTTTGACCCCTGGGACCCACATGGAAGGAGCAAAGAACCGACTCCCACAGTTGTCCTCTGACTTCTGGACCCACACCTTAGCTTGTGCCTCTCCCCACCCAACTGGCAAAACAAATGCAACAAACATAACAAATATGGAAATAATTCTACAACATGGCTCATGAATTTGTCTGATTCAGCAAAATTATTAAAGAATAATGGGGGATGAGCAGAAGGCAGAAAATCAATGGTGGCAGCAGTTACCATTTCTCTGGGGATATCAGGAGTATTTTGTTACAGTTTCCATTTGTTTACATTTATTTCTTAGTTGATTGTTTAATCTTGAGTTGCAGAAGCCATCTCGGTCATGGGTATATGATATATAGTAGTAAAATTTGGGTAAAATGACAAGTATTAGAAAAATTGAAGTCTTTTGCTCTTCTCTGCTATTTTTTCATGTAGCAGGGATTTGTAAAATCCCTTCAGCAATAAAGAATGAGAAGTATTGGAATTGAGCATGGAACTTCTGATCCTTAACAGTAATAAAACACAGGGTCTATTAGACATTTTGTCAACAATGGTAGGGAGAAACATGAGCCCACTTGAGAGTATGTGTGCGCGTGCATGCGTGCGTGCGTGCGTGCGTGCGTGTGTGTGCATGTGTTTGTGTGTGTGTGTGTGTGTGTGTGTGTGTGTGTATGAGAGAGAGAGAGAG